TTTGGGGACCACGTGTACTATAGGGTGTCCCATTTCGTAAACTTTTATAGGGTACCTCAATAATTGTAAGTGCTATCAAAAAAGGAATATATGTGTCATGTGCTCTTTTTGAGTCAAACTTAAAATGTCAAAATCAAAATTAGAGAGATATAGGAGATATAGAAAAATGCATTTACAAAAGTTTCTTTATAATGATTGTTGAATAATCTGCCGTTTTCAAAATAACTATACCGAGTTGAAAAGTAACATTGTTTTAAATAGAACACAATGTATATTTTAATCTAAAAAGATAGCATGTAAAATTCCATTTTCAAAAATATACACTTATCACTAAAAAGTATTCAAGAAGATTTTAACACCTTAAAAAAATTCAAAAATCTTTTTAAATTTTAAATTTCTTTAATTTTCCTAAATTTTTTGCGCTTTTTTGAATCGCTTGAATCTTTTTAAATATTGTATACCTTGTGCTATATTTTTTAAAAAAGAATTTAATATGTTACCTTTTCCGATTCAAGTATACATCCCGATAACTTTTTTGCCTGACCCCGTATACTTAAAACGGCAGATTATTCAGCAATTATTACAAAGAAACTTTTGTATTTTGCATTTTTCTACATCTGTTTTAACTAAAAAAAATATAGGGCCTTTTAGAATTAACAATTTTTTGATTTTCCACCGTATCCGAGCGAATATTTTGAAATTTTGATTTTACCATTTTAAGTTTGGCCCAAAAAGAGCACAAATGGGGAGCGTGTAGAATTCGACCACCAACCACTTAAAACAATATCGTGACACTGTACAGGGTGTGATCAAGTTAAGTATTTTCTTGGATCAGATCATTAAGCCAATATTTTGAAAACGACAGGAGTAGATACGGCATGGACAGACAGACAGGCAATATCACTGGCCGAAATAGCGCCAGTCAAGCATATCTGATTTAGAATTTCAAAACGTACGAAACAAAATAAAAAAGTCTTGACTCACTACATATTTTCACTGCGAGAGTTTTCAATGGTGTCCATAGCCTTGTAGTGGCCATTAGAGCCTTTAAGAGTGAAAGGATCATTAAAGGTCTTCAAAAAACGATTTTAAAGTGAGAATTTTTCAAAGAGTTTCACCTTGGGGGCATAAACTAAAACAATTGATTATGAGGATAATCTAAGCTGAAATAATTTAAAAATCTGTTCAGATCTGCTTCGTCCACATCTTTCAATCACTTAGGGCGAGATGCCGTTGTTTAGTCGCCTCTTACGACACGCAGTGATAGCTGCGGTAGTGGAATTCTTTCCCGCCCCTACACGGGTATAAATATAATTTTCAATTAATTAATAATTTAAACCACCCGGATTCATTCCAAATGCCTTAATCCAAGCATCAACGTCCCAATCTGACATTGTTTACACAGCAATATTTGTAATCAGGAAATACAGGGCTACTCAAAACTATAAAAATACATTAAATATATTGAAAACGTATGTTGTTGGGCACTCCTTGTACCTATATTGAAGTCAATCAGTTACATTAAAGTAAGTGGGGGTCAAAATATGTACAGGCGATATCTATGGAATAGCTGACATTGCGCAGTCTGCGCATGCGCATATTAATCGTTAAGATTATTCTTGGTTGAGGTGCCAGAGCTATAAGCTACCGAATGCAAACACGAACGAAATCTCTTGAAAAGTAGCTAGAGATTTTCTGAAATTTTAACCACAGATGCTTCTAGTAAAGACAAGCATATTGCATATTCTAGAAATCAAATGTGCGCATGCGTAAACTGCGCAATGCCAACTTTCTTATTTATGGAGATATTTTTTTGAAATTTTAACCACAGATACTTCTAGGGAAGACAAGAATATCGTATATTGTTCGTGCGTACTGCGTAATGTCAACCTTCTTATCTATAAATATATTTTTGAAATGTTAACCACAGATTCTTGTAGTGAAAGTAAACATATCCGTTATATGACCTTTCGGGAAGTACCGATCAATTCATGAAAAATGTCCTAAAGTTACAAAAGCGAAAACCTTTTTACATTTTTTGGAATTTTAACCAAACATATCGCATATTTTAAACATCATTGTGCGCATGCGCAATGCTAAGTTTCTTATTTATAAGAATATTTATACCTTAACTTATTTCCTTTGTACACATAAACCTTTCGGGTTTCGCAAGAACATTTTTTCATTTTTTATATTCTCACCTCTTATGTACTCTATAATCCTCTGGTAGCTTTATGTGAAAATGCAGTCTTGCGTTTACAGGCAGTTAACAGCGAAATGAATTTGCAATATTCACAAGGAAATCATATCTATGTCCTTCCGTTCCTTAGTTCGATAACCCTTGAACGGAAGCTAGAGCCCTGAAACTTGGCATATAGATACCTCTTGCTCCAAGAAAGATCAACAAAGTTCCAGATGACTGTCGAGGATCCTTCGGGAAAATTCTTACAAATTAGGAAAGGCTATATCCAAAGACCCATTTAGTTCAAATCTAAATTTCCAAATTAAAGAATTTAAGAAAATCAACATTGTTACCCAGACTGTAGAAACCAAATATTTCATCGGTCTGTCTGTATATCTTAGTCTGCTAACTACTCCAACCTGCGATAAGTCAGCCATTTTAGTATTTAGAATCGGATTAAAGCGAACAAAATCGTTCGACATGCAGTTGTTTAGTCGCCTCTTACGATACCCAGTGCCATCTGCGGTAGGGATATCCTTTCCCGCCCCTACACGGGTAAAACAAATCTCTTAAATCAAATTTACAACACGAACATTATACGAAAAGGAAATCAGCTACTCAAAAGATCTTTAGCCTATGATTCCTTGGATTCATACGGTACTCGTAGGATTCTTAAGGTTCTTGTGCTGTCTACGAAGCTCAGTATCTCTCGCCCCCACCCCCATTAAACTAGATAATTTTTTAAAATAACTAAGATGTCGGAAAGAATTTTGGAATTGGGTTTGAAAAATACCCAAAAATCTAGGCCGAACGGTTACTTCCAAGAATCTATGTCTCAGATCAAAAAAGACACCCAAATTTTGGTGTAACTCCATTTTGAACCTTAGTTCATTTTGTTCATATATACAACCCGGTTTTTTTTTTAAATTCTCACCTCGTAAAACCATTCTGGGAAAATTCGAGTTCCTAATAGGATTCTTTTAAGATTCCAGAGATTCACAGCATTTCGATGATTCCAAGGTTTTTCAGATTTTCATGATTTCTAAAATTCCTACGGATCCTATGATCCTTGGATTCTTTTGGTATCTAGGATTGATAGAATGTATGAGGAACCCTGGAATTCCTAGGGTCTTCCGATTGTTTATAAAGCGTTATAAGAGCTTTTTTACTCCAGAACGGTTTTTAATATTCCTACGATTGCGTTTTATGGTGTTATATGTGGTCTATTTATTGTGGTTTCTGTGAAGAAAATCAGGGCGGGGGATGATATGATATAACTTTCCCACGAATCATCATCCAAATGCAATGCTAGTGCTATAAATAGGTAAACAATTATTAGAAAAGAAAGCACAAAAATTCATATCGTCAACGGGAAGTTCGCGGTTTCCCTGGCGTTCGACTATTGAAAATGCCGTTAAACTATGCCAACCTATCAAAATGACGCTCGGTTTTTTCTAATTTCGCGGATTAGAAAATCGTAAGTCATGGCGTCATATCGTAGTAACGACCCCTGTCCTCACATTTACCTTCCATGCAGTATTACACCAGCCGAGTATAATCAACAATAATAATAACCCAAGGCAAAGCAGGCGGATTTCCTAATTGTGGTCTTTATCTCGACGGATACCAAAGTGTGCTAATCGGATTTTTTTACTGTTCGTTTCGTTCTACGCTGCATTGTTGTAAACCTTTTACAAAAAGGGGGCCAGACGGCGCTACCACGCTTTAACACCAGCTCCGCTTGGGGTAACAATAATATGACAGGTCCATCGTTGGGCGCCTGCTCAATTACCGTCGCGACATTTTCCAAAAAAAAAATAGGACCCAGTCGTACGAAAACAAAGCAATTTTAGAGCACTTAACAATCTCGAGATAAGCGCTTGTAAATAAGCGATAAAGGAGTATTTTCGTACTGGGAGCGTTATTTAGAAGCCAGCCAGAATCGGTTACGATTGTGTCATTTCGGTAGCGGACAGGAAAACCATACTGAGCACATGATGTGTGAAGAATTGGTCCTTTGATTAATTAATGCTGCCCGCTTTGGAATGTTTTAATTAAAATGTAACTTATTTCCTACATACCAAAACCGTATAGTAATTGCAATTACGTTGAGCGTTATTAGAAAGTCGGGTAAAATTGAAAAAACGAGGTATTACGGCAAAGCAAATTAATTATAATTCGTCGAGTCTAATACGCACAGGTGGAGTATTACGTAACTTCTAAGACAATAGAATGTTAAAAGGTGCAAACCAAAACCGTTAAATATCAACATTCGGATAAAACTGAATGAACGTTTTTTATCAATGACACAATTACAATTTGAACTTTGAAGATCAACATTAATATTTTCATTCTGTTTACTGGTGATTTTAATGTTTTCCTCAAAATTGTTCGCTCCGGTGACATACTTTTACTTCTTTTATTTTAGAATTAGCAACAATCGCCTTTTGAAAGGTTAATTTTTTTATCATCGGGATGCATTGTGAAAGTCTACCTGACAATAGCGCAACACAAGCATTGTTATTGCTATAACCATATCGGCTTTTATTATAAATAAGTTGAGCGCCTCTATAAATAAAAATTATTGAAAGAGTTCATTAATAACGGGAGATTGTTATCGTTGTAGACTTTCATTTGTTTAATTACCGATTTCCGGTCTATTGGGAAATAAAGGAATGCGCCCTCAACCCTCGTTTTTGTTATGCTAAAGAGAAATAGGATATATTTGGTAATTTATTGTCCCATTCGGTGTCAACCCCTATTCACGCACATGTGTCGGAATGTTGTACCTGCTTTAAAATCTCCCTTTTTGTTGTAGGAGAATTACTCGTCATCTGCGCTAATGAGAAGAGATGGTGGCCGCGGAGAGTGATGGTACGCGGTGGACAATTGCTAATAGGCAGCGCACCTGGTGATCCGACATCGTGTAGCTTACGGCTACCGCTAAGACACCTCAGCCTCGCCGCCGGACCGCTACCGAACAGTTTATCACTGTACAAAGGACAAAATATTGCTCTTACCATACAGGTGGGTACACGACCGTTACGTTGAAAATCAAACCGTCCATTCAAGGTTTCAGATCTCCAATACTTTCAGTTCCGTATTTAAGGAAGAGATCGAATTACCCACCCTCTCAATTAGTTACAAGGTTTTTTTTCTGTTGCAGACCGCAAGTGAGCGTGCGTTCGACTTATGGGCAAAGACTATAGCGATCGAACTGATAAGGCAGACACCCCTCGAGGCCGTCAGATATTTGGATATATTAACGGTAGCGGGCTGTTGGAATAAGAAATATAATCAAGAAGACTGTACGCAAGACTGGAACTGTAACTATATAAAAAATCAGGATGTGCAATCGTTGTACGCGAGCGAGAGGCAAAGGGCGAAGCCGCAGCCGCCCCCAAGTGACGAAAGAAGCATAGAGGTGCTGCTGAAGAGATGCCAAAATGCGGACAACTACGTACCGGTCAAAGAAAAGTTGGTCCTTTTCGAATCGCTGTGCCGGTTCGGTAGAAAAGTGCGCAGTACCGAAGACGTTTCCGTGAAGATCAACGTGGAGGCCAAGCGGGCGGTTTCGATGCACGACCTGTCCAACAGTTCTCTAACGGGCGTACGTCAAATATGTAAATATTTCGAAAATAAGAGAGAGCCGCAGGAGGAATTGGCATCGACATACGGTACAATTCATCGTGCTAGTAGAAGACTGATTAACTTCAACACTCAGCTACGCGATCGCAATATAGACCAAAGAACTGATAAACAGAGTGATAGTTGTGCGGTGTAGTTGTAGTTGACGTAATTTAGATGTAACCAAAGTTTATTAGTTTTGTTAATGTTCAGATTATATAAGATTATCATTTTTGTAAAGAGATAAAAAAAGCATTATTCGTACTTAACTGCGTCTGTAGTTTAGTTTAAATACTCACGCCCATTTGATTTGGTTGCGAACTAATAAATGCGATTTATTTTATTAATTCTGCTCTACCCGACCAACCACTGCTGCTGCGGAAAAAACGACAATCAATTCAGTTTCTAAAACGCATAGGCAACACCACATACACCTAAGTAATCATGGTTGCAAGACGAGGGGGCGTGGCCTACGAAGTAGGGCTAGTCTTCTTGGTCCACAAGCCCAATTCATTATGCAAAATTGAAGTGTTGCTACGTAGGCGTTAACTGATACCTTGCAGCCCTACATTAAAAATTCCATAGCCGCCGTTAATATCTTCGCACAAATAAGGGTGATTTTGTTCATCAGTGTGGGGAATAAGTTAATTCATGGCTCATTATCTTTATGTAGTGTCATGTGACAACGTGACGTTACCGTAATCCAACAAGAAAAAAGATTTTTGCCCTTTAACGGCTGTTTTAGTTGAGTAACATTCATTTTGCACGACGCTAATACCGTAAGGAACGACAAGCGCCTGCGGGAGCCCATATCAATAAATTCAATTTTTCAGAAAACACCCTGTATATGCTGATTTTATTTATTTCATTAATATAGGGCACCAGACATTAACGCTGCCCATGTGCCCGATAACTTCAAAATTGCGTCCAGAGGTGACAACATTTGCTCGGAACAACCCAGAAAATCGCGAAAACAAAAACATTTGCGATTCAGATTAACAGTGAGACCTCTGGTGGCAGCGCATTATAATTACTACTGGTACAAGACCGCCATTTTGCTTTTTTGCAATGGCCAAAAGTAATCAATATTGCAGGTTTTACGGCTGTAAAGGTAAATATACTTGCAAAAATTTCATTTGCAGTCAATGTAATCAAGGACAGTTTAAAACGTTACATTTTATCACGTTATTTCCAAGAATTTTAAATGGGATCCAACCCACAATAAAGATAATTTAAAAAGTCGTCGTCTAACACATAATATTTCCAAAGTCTTTAATTGTAAACAGTGTAATTACATAACCAACAATAAGGATAAGTTAAAGAATCATTGTCTAACGCATAACATTTCTAAAGTTTTTATTGTGAACAGTGCAATTACACAACAAAAAATAGATATATACGTCACTCTTTGACACACTCCCCTTTGAATAACTTTCCATCACTGCTATTAGTGTAATTACGCTACAATTCAGCGTTCGCTTAAAGCGTCCCCTATTAACATACACCAACGGACGTTACGTGTACTCTTTGCGATTAGGTACGCCACAAATAGTAAGAAACATTTAAGTCGTCATGCACATAGAAAAGTACCGATTGTTTAATTTGTAGTTAGTGTAATTATACTACGAATAATAATGCATAATCGACGTAAGGGAATGTCGGCGAGTTATTGTAAAGTTGTACAAGTGCGCTAGAAATTGAATGATCAATTCTGATTTTTATTTGTAATTAGAAAATTAGATTAATTGCGTGTTCAAGCTAATTCAATTTCTTAAGAAAGAGGCCTTTGAAGTTTGATGTAGGATTGGAAATAGGCGTAGGTATACGTAATGAAAGTAAAAGTAAAAAAGTTGGAAAGTACTCGATGCGTCGAGCTACTTAGGCGCGTTTTTGTACGACAGATCGAGGTTTTATTTGCAAACTCATTTTATGCAACAGTTTAAAATATCACCTATATGCAAAGAATTGTGAGACAAAGCTAATGATTCAAACCCGAGGATTACACGATGATTCAAATGACACAAAAAGTAAAAATGACTTCCATAAGAAAAAAACGATGATTAACCGGAGACAAAACGTCAGACTTAAAATTTAAAAGGAACATCTTGTAGAGGGAAAAAAGTGGTCATAATAATGTGTCATTTATTTTTAAATATCTTTTTATCCTATACAAGGAGAAACTTACATTTTCTCGCCTGTGTGAGGACGCGAAAGAAGACAATTGCACGCATGGAGCGAGAAAATTCAATTTTGTCGGCTAGGCGAGAAAAAAAAATACGCCTTATGTAAGCTAGATGGCGCGGTTGTAATAAAATGTCAAAGAAGTTATTTCTTTTTAATTAAATAAGCAACATAAAATCGTCAACATTGATTATTTAATAATTAAATTTACCCTATGTTCACTTTATTTTACTGAATTCAAGAATTTATTTAATTACCGCGAACCTATACCTATCAATGTTTCGTGAATTTGAATACGTTCCCAATATCACGTGACCAATTCAAACGTTTCAAACAAGTCATAATCTCCCATTTATTTTCAATAACGAGCATCTGTGTCAATACATTTAACACCAAGATGTACTTTGCACTGTAAGTAGAACACCGCTTATCCGCAATAAGTAGCATTTTAACATACGAGACTACCCCGAAGTTAAAATGTGTCCAGTGTGACTGTAAGGAATGAATAAATCATAAATCTATTTATAAAACACATTTTTTAAAAATACAAGATCATCAAGGATTTAAAGTGTGCCCATTGCGCGTTCGTCACCAAGCATAAATCCAGTCTTAAAAGCATCTAACATTTGACAAGACATGGATCCTGCCAAGGATTTAAAATGTAACCGGTGTGATTTTGTCCCTGAAAACACACATTCAATTTTAAAACACATTTGTTAATACACAAGACCAGTAATAATTTCAAATGCGCCTGGTATTAATTACACCTCCTTAAATCCTGTTATTTTCTAAGGAAATAATCACGCGCCAGTGAAATGCCGGAAATGTCTCAGTTCGCATATGATTGGTATTCTCCACTTGGACTCTGCTCGGTTGCACCGTGACTCCCTTCGGTGACTCCGCACTGTGCAATCGCAAGCGCGCTAGAATTTTAATTTGCGTTGAACTGTATTATAAGGGAAAGGGGTAAATCTATGAGTAAAAAATATACTCGCGGGCCCACTTAGATTGCACCGTTTCGTAAATTTTTTTTCGCGTAGTCAGCAGGAAACGTGGAAATAAACAAAACAAACGCGTGCACGTTGACGCGTTAAAGCAAATCCAAATTCATGCGCTTGCGATCCGACGTTGTTGAGGGATTAATTTTAAATGTAAGTGTATAGGATAAAAAATATTGTGTGCACCACGGCACGAAAGTTGTTTTCCGGGCCTCAGGAAGTGGCCAGCCTCGGCTGCGCCTCGCCTGGCCATATCTTCCTTCGCCCCGGAAAACAACCACTTTCCCGCCTTGGTACACAAAGTACTATTTTAAATATAACTTCGGCAAAAATTCATTTTTTCAGGAAATCTCCGAAAGTAGTCGGAATTTTTTTCAGTTTCAAAACGGCATTTTGTTAAATATCAAAACCTAGATCAAAACGCAACTTTGCCAAATTGAAACTACTTCCCTATCTCTTACAGTTCCCGAGATTCCCATGGTGGCCCTTGAACTTGAATCAGCCGGTATAAAATGCGGGACCTTTTGAAGGAACCAGCATTTGTTTGTAAAAAAAAAGTTTTGCGTTTCATGATGATTATAATTTCATACGCCTTGGTAACCGTTTTAATAACAAAATATTTTAGGAACATTTTTCGGTGAAATTTGGGATGGGAGTTAGGGATGGAGTTCCGGATTGAGCTACAAACTTTATCCAACTATTGATTATAAGATTTTGTTCTGAAATTATAAAGTAGGTATAATCAAAATATTGGAAGTATTCATATCAGAACATTGGCGAGATCTGAAAAGGTAATAGGGGTTCTCTCACTATCCTATTCTTTGCACTATGTTATTTGCTTTCTGATCTTCGCTTCATATAATCAATGGATTAGAAAAAAAAGTTCGCCCGAGCAGGGACTTGAACCCTGGACCCTTGGATTAAAAGTCCAATGCTCTACCGACTGAGCTACCCGGGCAGTTATACAAAACGTTAGATAATGCCGTGTTTTAAACACGAAGTTTATTGAATCCAAAAACATGTTAATTTTTGTTACTCCTTTAATTGTTTACGTCATACTATTGTTCTCTGGAACTGCTAAATGATATAAATTATAGATGCTAGGAATTCCATATTGATATACCGCTAATTCTCAACGAACAATCAACCTTCGATAGCTCAGTTGGTAGAGCGGTGGACTGTAGTTGAAAGCACAAATTGTCATCCATAGGTCGCTGGTTCAAATCCGGCTCGAAGGAATTTTTTTAATAAATGCTGTTTTAGCATAAATATTAAATCTGATTGAAACTATTTTCATGTTACAGTTGAATTTTATGCGTCAAATAATAATTTATTTTAATGCAAAATAGAAAAAATAGTATAAAACCGTGTTTCATAAGACGCTTTATCGCACTTGTCGCTGCGCGGCTCGTTTTCTAAACTTCGACGCGTACGATAAGGCCGTTTCTTATGAAACTCGTTTCTTAATATACTATTAATACTGCTCGGTAGCAAAGAATACTTAATAAAACTCTTTTGTCAGTAGTAATATTTTGTTATAAACAACTTTTTATCACCCCCTCTGCCATAAACGTAAAAAAACGCGAAATGAAAAATTGTAATTTTTCTGACCTGGAAGGAAGAAAGGAAGTGTTAAGGGTGTTCACTTTTATAATTATCTTCGATCCGGCGAGATCGGCCCGAGAGATGAGGGAATTTTTCTAGTAGAAATGCGTTTTTCAACGGGAAATTGTTTTTCCTTGGTCAAGAATAGTAAATGGAGTTTCGGTACGGCAGATGTACTAGACGGGGGTGGAGGGGCGTATCGAGTTGAGTGCCCATCCGTCGCGCTGTGGTTTGCGCGGGGGCGCCGGCGGGGAAACATAGAGGGAGCGAGGATATCTCAACTTCGCCCCCGTTTGCCCCGACGCACCGGGGGTATGTGATGGTTTTGTCCGTCTGTTCCTCGTGTAACTCAAAAACGAAAAGAGATAGCGATGTCAAACTTTCGCCAATCGATTTCTAAGACTGGAAGGATAAGTGCTATTGAATATGAGCCGGATCAAAAGTCTGGTTTCCGAATGCGAGCTAAGTTGGAAAAAATTTCCCCTACTGAAAATAGTATGCGATTCTGCAGTTCGATGCAGGCTTTTAACCAGAAATACCCGTAATTTTGATTTTTACAGGAACCAATTAATAAATAACCCTCTAACTTGGTTTCATTCAAAAATGAAACTTATTGCATACCTTTAATTAGACTGACACCAAATCCAGGGGCTTCTTATGATAATAACGCACCTTTAAAATACACACTGACACTTTTCCACCCCTTAAAGATCCTTCCTTTAAAATGTGACTAGTCAGAGTACAACAAATCAATCTTACAACGGTTCTTAAAGTTATCGACACAATTTGACAAAAATACATACATATAGATACGATTAACCTTTATTCACAATTTTTTTCTCCGACGTAGAAGGGCTGGAATTTTTACAGCTGACTTTTTTTACTCATCAATCTGGGGTAGATATCAGATGTTATCAAAGGGCTTCACGCTGAAAAACCCGCCGGCTTGAAACCTCTAATCGATGGCTCTTTGGATTGAACTTTGACGACTGATGGGACAATATAGGCTTGATCCCGATGATAATTGCCAGTCAGTATAATTTTGTTTCGAGAAGTGCGTTTGCATGCACACTGAGATTAACCTCATTTTGATTATGATTTAATTTAACGTTTAGGAAATCTCCCAAAATGACACCTGGACTTTATCACCACGTAATTTTTTCAATAATGATGTTTAAAAAAAACCAACTGACTAAAATGGACCACAAGGTCGCTTTGAATCTACTTAAAACTGATTTTTCTAAGCTAGGTTAATCCAAACGCTACTCCAATATGGTTTCAGTTGGACGACCGCTGTTCGAATTCTCTTCAACCTTTATCTAGCTCAACTGCCAAAACGCTAATCTCCAATCTCGACGACGAGTCATTTTTTAAACGCATACTTAATTAATAATGGCGATGATATTTTATTAATTTTTACTGGGTCACCGGGCTTTCAGGGCCTGTCTACGTTTACGGAGCTTCTGAATCTGTGAAATCAGCTTATTTCCGCGCTCAATTTGCAACGTTGCATAAATAACTTAATACGACTGGTTTCCAACGTGTAATTCTACACCAAAATCAGACAAGGGGCCACCGAAGCAATTTAGAACAAATAATTCCTTGGCGAACATGACTAAATCTCGCTGTATGACAATCAGAAGAATACAAACTTGAACTCATCATGACCACTATTTGTTTGGTGGAATTCTCTTGAGACTTGACTCATTTTAAACTTAGAAATTTTTCTTCCGCATACTTCAAAGGAAAAAATCGCAAAAAAATGTTACGCAAGTAAATGCTCTCGTTACAAATTTCAACATCTTTGGGGATTCAAAATCTTGAGAAGTTTTAATTTCATTTAATTTATCGCCTGTTACGTATCGTAGCGAATATTCCAGAAATTCCTATACACATCGAGGTGTCATAAAATTCATTTCAAGACTGTTATAAATTTATTTTTAATTATTGTAAATAAATAAATCACGTCATTACATTTATGTTACACAGTATTCGCAAATGTGTGTTTTTTTTAGGAGTTTCAATGTAGTCCCTAGTTATGTCTTCGAATTTATAATCTTGTGATCTACAAATTGCGAGGTTTTTTGGTCTTAAGGATCTTTAGGTTCTACAGACCCTTGCACAGTGTTTTCAGTCAGTTCAATCTTCGCAGAGCAGTCTTCAAGCCCTTACCTTAACTCCATCATGTTTAGGTTCTCAACGGTTTTCCGAGTTCAAGATTTTCTCTACATTCTTAAGCATTAAAAACCTTCACCGCCAAGGCTGTCAAGATCTCCCTTGATGTAGCGGTCCTGACAGTTATCGCGTTTCGGGACAGCGGAGTTCAGAGTATTTGACGCTCGTGGTGTATTCAGCGTCTCAAGAGATTTCAGTCAGAACCATGAGATGCGTCTTCTAAACATTCAGTTATTCAGCTACCAATCATCAGTGCCTTCTGGCCGCTATTAGTTTATCGCTCAGGATTTTCAAATGAAACCAACTACTTTGTCAAGTTTAAGCTTTAAACTAATTGATGATAAAATTTTATGTGAACTATTAAAATTTTACACAATGATAAGGTGCAATATCGAATATTTTTGAAGTTTTTAAAATTTTCTGGAGCTAGTTTAGGGTTTTTTTTAGAATATTTTTCATGAAAAATACAGCTTATACCTACGTGAATTCCGACCGACCGTCCGTCGGAGGGTGTGAGCTCTCAGCACTCGTACCTCGTAGAAGCCCGCCTTTTTTAATTTAATAGGTTTTAACACGTAGAGTGGGCGACAAAAAAAATGTAGCATAAGTTTTCGTTCGTTTTCGCATCCCAGGTTTGTTATTTACTCATTAATTGAGAAGACTACTCAAGAATCACATACTTTGCCATATACGCCATCACATTATTAATGTACCATTGGGAATATTTCTCCTGTATCTTTCAAAGACGCTGCACGGTGAAACTAATAAAGTACATCTAGTAGGTATGGTGGAAGATTATTGTGCAGCAACTCAAAAAAATTAGTTGTAATTGGGGTTTAATTGTTTTAATTTATTTAAAGAAATTAAATGGAGTATTCCAGTCGACTTCTTTAACTAAATTATTTCACCGGTTGGTCTAAGGACAATGTCGTGAATCTATGGATAGACAAAGTCATTTAGTTGGTTATACATTTATAGGGCTAAGTACCTGAACATGAGGCGGTCTCGAAAGCACAAACAAAACCATATCTCCGATGTCTTCAGGTTTCAATGACTGTTCGAGTAAGGGTATGAACTCCTTTAACGCTTCATTGTACTGAACAAGTTCGGTGTGTTCAACTATTCCAGGGTTGATGCACTAAAAGTTGATCTTACTCGAAGAAAGTCGCGTGTAATTCTTACCGATATTTTAATTTCGCTACCGACTTCGAGCAGTTCTTGTCGCAACCCTTCCGTCAAAGATCGTACCGCATGCTTGCTGGCACAATACATTCGTAATCCCTTCACAGGGGATGATGTTATGCAACCTCCCAAGCTTCCTATATGTATGATTTCGCCAGGTATATTGTTCGCTCGCATCGATTTTACAGCTTCTCTTGTCATCATGGATAAACCCAAAATATTAATGTCCAAAATATCTTTCCAACACGTCGTCTTCCCATCGATAAGTGTAGTTTCGCGCGTCGTACCCGCGTTATTTACCAAAACGTGAGCCACTCCCAAGTTATCTTCGATCCATTTGAACGCGTTGAACACCTCGCCCTCCTTGGTAATATCGGCGGTTAGATGATAGAATCTACCCCTTTTCCCATCCAAAGCCAGCTCAAGCTCTCGACCGAGATCTTCGCGTCTGGCAATACCGACGACCTGAAATTTGAGTTACGGTCCCTGCAATAAGTTAATGGGAAGCACTCACACGCACTCCAGCCTCCACCAATTTAATTGCAATACCCCGGCCGATGCCAGAGGAAGTTCCTGTGACTATTGCAAGTTTTCCCTCCCATTTCTCCATGGTTGCTACTGTGAAACGTTTGGGTTGCCACTACAAAGTTATCTTCCTAACACACGATAAGAGCGTGTTTATCTTCCTATTATCGTCTGTTAATGAAAAACGAAGTCTAATACTAATCTAAAGTAAACGGATTACGCTGCAAATATCTAATTTCACAACGGAGCGACCTCAACCTCAACTTGTGCTTTTTTTATAGATGTTGATAACAGTAAATTGAGGATGTGATTATGATTTGTATGAAGTACGCGCACAATATTTGAATTCCATAAGGTTGAATCCTGGGACCCATATTGTGTTTTAACAATAATAAAATAAAATAAAAACAAAAACGTAGCAAATATGGGCCCTCGTTCGGCGTTTCCGGTTAAGATTTGAGAACAGTCCCACCATTAGGTGTCGTGACTAATTTGGTTACAATTATTTATCTCATCCGTGAGTGTCTCTTCAAAGCGAAAAGGAAAGTAGGAGGATTAAGGTAAGAAATGAAAAGAAGGGAAGAGCGACCGGATAAAGAAAAAGAAGAACTTATAGAAAGAATGAAATAACTTGAAGAAGGAAGTGAGAGAAAAGAAAGAGACAAAAAAAGAACATGCCGGCGGTAAAGCGTTTAGTGATGGAAAAAGAAAAAAACCAGCGAGAGAGAACGGAGGAATGACTAAAAGAGCGAGGAGAGAACTTTTGAATGGAAAAAGAAGAGAGTGGTTGAGGGGAAAGGCAAAGTTAAAGAGGAGCGAGATATACATAGATCACGAGTTGACATATGAAGAAATACGGGTTCAAAGAAATTAGAGAGGTTGCGGAAAGGGAAAGAGGAAAGGGCAAGGAAGTTAGATGGGGCACTACCATTCAATAACAATGGTACTACCTACAAACACTAACAACAGAAAAAAACAGAAAAACCAAAAAAATGGGGGATTAAACGAAAGAGGAGGACCTACACGCCAGAGGAGTGGAAATGTAGGGAAAGAAAATGATAGTAGGTATTAACGATATACAACAGAGAAGGAATATAAAGGACTTAAAAGATGAAATAGTAAATATGGTAGATTAAAGGGAGGAGAAAAGGCTCATATTAATGGGGGAAGGGAGGGGGGGGGGGGTTTTTAATGCCAGAACAGGAATTAAAAGAAACTGGGTAGATATAATAATAATAAAAATTAACAATAGGTACAATTTACGTTCCAAAAAGAAGGAGAAAGAGGAGGCTATGGAGGTGGGTAGGAAATGAAGAGATTAAAGGAGATGAGATCGAGCAGCAATTAAAAAGACTGAAGAAAGAGACAGCGGCAGGGAGGGAGAGACGAGATAGTTAATGAGGATTGAATTTTCGCCACAGATATGGGCTCAAGGAAAGGATGAGAGGAAACACAAATGGGTTTCAGAAAAGAAGAGGAAGAGAAATTAAATTTTTAGCATACAAAATGTAAATGGGACACATACGCAGGTAAGAGAATTAAGAAACCAGGTGTCAAATTCTTGACAGAATAGCTTCCTAGCTGAAACCAAAAATTGCCAACATATGTTTTTTTACGCATGCATTTTGTTTGCTTTTATTAGAGGGACCTACCATCCAATTTTCGTTAAAATTGCTCCATAAATAAGAAAGTTGGATGTTGCACATGCGCAACTCGATTTTTTGCGCATGCATTTTGTTTTCTTTTATTAGGAGGACCTACCATCCAAATTTCGTTTTAATTGTTCCATAAATAAGAAAATTGCATTTCTGCGCATGCGCAACACGATTTTTGCGCATGAATTTTGTTTGCTTTTATTAAAGGGACTTACCATAGAAATTTCGTTTAAATTGCTTCAGAAACAAGATCGTTGCGTTTTGCACATATGCAACACAATTTTTTGACTTTGACAATTTTTTTCTCCGTTTTTTGATAATATAACCCGGCCCAATTTTTTGTAGGTTGTACACAGGAAAATAAGGTCTTCCAAATAATAGAATAAAAATTTTAGGTTGCTATTTGAAAAAAAAAGTTCGATGCCGTTACGGCGCTCCAAAATTTTTTTTCAAAAATCCGGCCCGTTATTTTTCTGTTCGGTATGCCTAAAACATATATACAAAATTTCAACAAAATCCGTCGAGCCGTTTTCTCAGAAAATTGCCAACAAACGTACGTACGTACGTACATACAGACGGAAAAAAATTTTATTCTTTAAAAGTTGCTTAAAATGGTCTAAAACGTCGACATTTGATAAAATTTTGAAATGTTCAAAAAACGGCTATCGCAATAGCTACCTAGCACATGCTAGGAAGCTAAAAATGGAATGGCAGCGATGAGACAGGTGTGGGGAATGGGAGAGAGGGGGTTCACGAATGATTTTATAACAACAAAATACCTACTCGATGCAATGGTGAAAGGGCGTGCTCATGTACGGAGGGGAGATATGGAGGTGGAATGGAACTGGATGAAATACAAAGGATATATAAATGGGTATTAGGGTTAAACGGAAGGACACCAAATTGTATATTAGAGGAAGAAATGAAAATGGAAAAGATAAGGATAGCGTACGGGGGCGCAGAGAGCGGTAAGATTCGAGAAAAGGGGCGACAGAGAAAGCGGAATTGCTGAAGGAATGCTTAACAACGAGGATGAACGCGAAAGGAATGTGGAAAGAACAAAGACGAAAATATTAAGTAAGAAATGGACACGGACGTGCCAAGATCGAGAGGGAGTATAGGAGAAAAGATGAAAAATGAGGGAAACAGAGGTTGAAAATTGAAGATCGAGAGCGGATGTGGTAGTAGCAGTTATAAAGAGCTATAAATGATAAGGAAGTCACTAGCAACATATTTGTGGGAAGGAAGGAAAAATACTAAAACAATAGTCAGATTCAGATGCGGAAATGAAGAGAGAGAAGAAATGGAGACAAAAGAACGAAAATGTAGAATATATGCGGAGAGAAAGAAGAGGACATGGACATAGAACACATGGTATGGAACTATACGGAGGTGGAAATCTCAAATGACAGGGCAAAGTAGCAATGAAGTGGATGAGGGGCATTCTAAAGAAAAGAGAAGAAAAAATCTCAACCATTTGGGCGGCCAATAAAGATTGATTGATTGAAAAAGGTGGGCAGCAATCCATCTACCTCCCTCCTTCCCACCATTTTATACTTGAAGTGTCATGCGCCAGGAACCCAATCGCCTTAACACGAATGATTCTTTTACCACCTTCAAAACAACTAACCACCTCCGGACGTAAAAAGGATCAACTCGTCATAGTTTAGACAATGGCCGACTGAAGCCGTTCTCAACCCAAATAAAATCAAACATAAACCAAAAATTGGCAAATACATACTATAAAAAACATCTCTATTTTACGCATTTCATTAGGTGCGAAAGACGCAACTGAAACGCCACTGGAAATAATGTTTTACCGCGAATCCTAACAATTCAAATTATTCGCGAGCGAGTGCACATGCTTTGCTTTTCTTCGAGCGAGAAAGGGAAGGTGCCGAAGAGTTAGCCGAGGCTGAGGCGGCAGAACGTAGATAGCGTTTGGTGGTGTTAATTAATCTATAGTTAATAATGTATCCTTTATTAGTTTCTTTTTTAATTACGGTAATTAGCGTAGGATGTAAGATAATTGTTTTGTATTACAAACTTGTCGATTTGTTACTGCGTTTGTTTTATAAATTTGAATTTGTAAGACAATGTTCGTAAAATGAGTTAACAGTTGAGAAAGTGGCCGTACTTAGGGGTAGTTTTTATTTGTTATAGATAGCGCATACGTAGATTCATTGCGTGTCGCTTCAATTACAATTACTGTTTTGACGTCAGGGTTAGATTTATCATGTGGAAGGTTGAAGATTAGTACAGGGTGTTAATCCAATTTAGGGCATATTTTACGTAGGTAGCTCAAGTGTAATTTTCCACAGGTGTGGGCGGCTTTCAATTGAGATTAATGTACAGGGTGTTTAAATAATTTAGGGTATCTGGGAGATTTTGTGTACGTAGTTATAAGGTGCTATGGAACTTTCACATGTATTTTATATTTTAACAATTTGCAGGAAGGCGACTTCAAAGTTCAGTTACGATATTTGTTATCAGGTGGTATTATGGGTCGGGAGTTTGTGCTACTGCTTCCAAATTTCTATAATTCACGTAAATATTAAAAAAAACTGTCAATTCGGCAGACACCAGACTGAAACCAAAAAATCGTCTGCGTTGACCTTATGATGCGTGTTGGTTCTAATAAACGGAAATATAGTAATAATTTCACACACAAAAGGAAAAACAAAACTTTTTATACAGTTTGAAAGAGATAAACCATACACGTAGTGTGCAACCGATAGCAAGAACCGAGATGTAGAAAGTATCCAATGCAGAATCATTGAAAATATAATTACGAAATACATCTCAATTTTTGGCGGAGTTTGTACAAAATTAAACAGAACTTACTTAAATCAGCCATACAATGATGTTGGTCCTTTGAGCCAAATCAAATTTCTTTTTGCTTTTTCCCTCTTTTCGAATATTTCAACGACTTTTTAAGCAAACATTTTCACAACGGTCAAACAAACTGAAAGAAAATGACGTCACGGTAAAACAATAATAAAAAACGGCGCATGATGACTGACGTAGCGGGGAATGGATCAATTGCAAAAAGGCCTTGGAGAAAACTACAATAAAATACACTTATAACACAAACTTATTCTTTTGGACATGAAAAATATTACAATACTGTTTTCTTCGACTGCTCATTAAAACTGTTTTAGGCACTGCATAAGTATATTCCTTAAACGTAACCTAAGTTCATCACTGTTGCATAGCACGTGTGTGCAACTGTCCTCGATTTGAATGAGTGCATCTTCGTCTTGCTAGAAACAACATATATAACACCAGAATATACAAGGTGTCCCAACTAAAATTTATACTCCCAAAAATCTTAATCTCAATCTTAATATGGAAATCAACATTTGACGTATTTCTTTGGTTAATAAGTAAATTTCAGTTGGGACACCCTGTATAACAAAACTCACCAAATGTATCATAACGCCATTTCCGCTTGGCTCAACTTTGGCATCGATAATGCCTTCCTGCGCTAACTTTTGCAGAAACTCAGTCACATTTACCAAACCCCATTCGTAATGTGTCCCCTTTTGTAATTTATTCTCGCCCCCTGCGTCAAAACTCTACAAGAAATTACCAATTTCAAAATACGAGAGAATGGCAACTACCGTCATGTTATGCACGTTGTCTTTAATGGTGAGTGCTCCGCTCAAAGCAGATAGGCTGATACCCGTTTTGACTTCAATCGGATTGATCTTCTGCGCCACCTCGGTCTCCATAATAATTTGCCCCTGTTTTCGTTTCAGCGGTAGGTTGATCACTTCGCCCCACTTGTACGGTATAAGGGTCCTATCGGAGTTGTTCTCGATCACCAGTTCCGTTAGCGTCGGCGCCGACACGGGCGGCTGCGTGTAGCACTCGGGCACGACCAAGGTCGTCGGCTTGAGGTCCTTGATTAACTTGTTCGCCTGGGTGAAGTTGAGGGAGGTGTCGATCGCGCAATGGGCGACCTTCATTTGGATAGGTTGGAAGGGCGCAAGCGCCTCGATGTAATCGAAGTCGGGTTCTGTGCGCTCATTTTTAGTGACATCTCAACGATTAATCGGCACGCTTACCTGTGAAGACGATGCAATTGCGTGGATTGTTTCCCCATAATTCGATGAATTGGACAACGTCGCCGAAGCGTAGACTCGGATGACCGCAAAAAACTACACAAGGCTAAAAAGAAAATTCCGAGTGAAGATCTATAGTCCGTCTAACCTGGACTTTACAGTACAGGGAACATAGTACCTAGGGCACTGCAATCCTTATGGAAGTTTTTAGAGCGGCGATGCCGATTTTAATTTGAATTCTAATTATCATTTTGGCGAAATGTAGAAATAATCTATAAAATTTAAAAAAATTGGCAACGGCCGGGAATCGAACCCAGGCCGCCCGTTTTCTACAAATCTCTAATGACATTTGGCATCGCTGTTGACCTGTACTGTAGTCAAGGTGAGACAGACTATAGATACATTTTTTTTAATACTTTGAAGAGTGGTATACAGCGTGGTAATTTTGCCTGGAACACTGAATATACAGTGTGTCCCCGGATGGACTGAACAAGAGGGAAACAATTTTTAATTTTAACTTTACGCAAAAATGTCATTCTTTTTCTTAAGCTCTAAGGTGTCTTTTTTAACTTGATTTGCTTATCAGGTTGCCATGGAAGATTCAATGATAGTTTGATTTAATCAAAAACATGCAACTTAGAAAAATTTCCGCCGTAGATTTTGCGTTTTTTGTAATTTTCTCAGCTGCTAAAAGGAATATCTAGATTTTTATTTCAGAATAGGTGGTTTTGAGGCAAGCAAAAATTTTTATAAAGAATGACATTTTTGCGTAAAGTTAAAATTAAAAATTGTTTCCCTCTTATTTATCTGTACAAAAAATAAGATTAAGAATAATTAGAAAAAACAAAATCAAAATAAAATATAAAACTCGGTGAACACAAATATTCAAAAATTTCGGAAACATCGCACCATAAAATCAAAAAATCTAGAATAATTCGCAAAATTCGGAAAAATAGATACACAAAAACGAATTCATAAAGATTGAGGAGAAAAATGATGTCAGTAGTATTGAAAAAATTCTTTTTTCAAATTTTGTTCGAAGAAATTTGATATCTGTGCAAAAATAAAATTAAAAAAAATTGAAATATATAATAAAACATGAAACTCAGTGATCATAAACATTCAAACATTTCAGAAAAATTCCAAAATAAAATCTAAAAATCTAAAACAATTCGCAATATTCGGAAAAACAAGCAAAAGGGAAGATGCATAAACATTTAAAAACATGAGGTAAGAAATGTTATTTCCCCGAGGAAGAAATGCGGTACCTGTTCACAAAAATAAAATTCAGATAAAAAAAATCAATAAAAAATAAAGTTCAGTGAACACATTCAAAAATTTCAGAAAAAGTCCAACATCAAATCAGAAAATATAGAGCAATTCGCAAAATTCGGAAAAATATCCAAAAACGAAGATAATTAAAAATTGCTAAAATTGAGAAAAACGAGGTTGTTAATAAATTTTAAAAATTTTGATATTTAAAAGAGAAAGTAATTATTCATATTTTCACAAGTTTTGTTTCCTTGCAGAAGAAATTCGGTCCCTGCATAAAAAAATAAAATTAATAATAATAATAATAAAATAAAACTCAGTCAATACAAACACCACATCAACATATAATCAGAAAATCTAGAGCAATTCGCAAAAATTCGAAAAAAATACCCAAAAACAAAGATAGTTATAAATTCCAAAATTAAGAAAAATGACCTTGGAGTTGTGTTAGTAACATTTAAAAATTTTGATCTCACCAAATAATTCTTTCTACATATTTACAAATTTTCTTTCCTTAGGCTTCTTCGATGTCTGTACAACAAAAATTTAAAAAAATTGGAAAAATAAAAATCAAAATAAACCCAGTAGAACAAACATTCAAGAAAAAACATAAACATAAAATCAAGAACAATTCGCAATATGCAACAACGAAGATAATTAAAAAATTCATTAACTTTGAGAAAAATGAGGTTAAGAGTACAGATGTTAGTAATGTTTAAAAGTTTCCATATTTCACGAAAAATTGGTAACACCATTTTCAACCGCTGGCCGATAGTAAAAAAACCCCTCGAAAAAACCATTCATCAGTTTTGTAACCGTTCCCGTGGGGATATTTAAATTATTATTGGAGCATCTGAAAGCTCTCGTCATTTATAATTTTCTGAATTCCGTTCCGATTATTAATTAATTAATTTATTTATTTATTTATTATCCCTCTCTTGTTCTGGGCCCTCAACAGGCTTGCGATTGTAGTTTCACAATGCTAATTTAAAACCAGGATTAAGTAAGCAAGGCAATGCAACATACGTAGATAACGCAGGCCTATGCCTGGCCCGAAAATTCCAATTACCAATGGGTGGACTACCGAATTTTGAAATTAGAACACAGCATAATTACCGATAGGTAACCAATTAGATGTGTTGCAGCAAACCTCGCCTGATTTGGTTGACCTTAGTGTCCTTGGAAGCGCGCTAATTTATCAAGATATTTGACCCGTTTTCCAAAATTTTTAGGACATTAAAAAAGTTGTAATTTTTGACCGCTTTCATACTAGTTCGCTGGGCGAGCCCGGTTTTCTAGCCTTTCCTTTCCGCGTTTCGAGAATTTTACAAAGGTAGAGAGTGGTTTAAAGGGGATCATTTGATATTTCTGCATTTTGCAGTGTGCATTTAGGCCATATTTAATCTTTATCTACCGTACCGTTTGATTTTCAAGGTAGATATGACATTTTTCATTCTGTTAATTATGGGGGGGGGGGGGGGGATTTTTTTTTTTTTTTTTTTACTGGTAAGGGTGTTTTCATATAATCGCTAAATTTATCTGACAGTTAATTTACTTACCTCCTGAAAATCTGTACTGAAACCTTCGGAATAGATATGCTTAAAATGTTTCAGTTTGGAATTCTTCAGCAGCAATGCGTGAGGAAATGGCTCGTCGGGTACATAGACCCGATTTTGTTTGGCCGACGACAGCCACTCGGCCAAAATGTTCGAATACGCGAGCGACATATCGGCAACGGGCGAAATAAAAAACATCGGGCAATTTTGCACTCCCAAATCTTGCATTTTGATCGACAGACACTCGAACAAATCATAAATCACACCAGACGGATAGCACGGTATTAACGCGTTACCTCCACCCCTCAAAGTGAGACCTAAGCATTGAATTTAGTGACATCAGGTAGCCGAACCGGAACTTACTGACGACCACGCAGAGCAGTCCGAGCATCGAGTCCGGGTTACTAATGGGAGTTTGTGTTAGATCTGTCATAATTAACACATCCGCATTTTTTAGCGCGTGATGATCCATAGGTCTCGGATGGGTCGTTAGTGTGCTGGATCCGCTGAGGTAGACGACTTTTTCGTGATCCGACGTGATTATCCAATTACTGGAGCCCAAATTGTAGCCGGAACTGGTGGGCAAAACTTGCAATGCGCCGTAGATGTCCTGGTGAATCATAATATTAGACAAAGCTCTCTTAGATACGACTTACAATTTTCTCGTTGTACCCCACCATTTGAATACGCGAGAGACTTTCGTTGACGTTTGCCATGTTGTAAATCTGCCTCCACGATTTCGGCTTAAACGACTCGTTTAAAGGATAGGGAAGTTTGTGAACAATATTTTTCCACTGTGATGCAAAGTTAGCCTTGGGACATTGCTCGATGTGCGTCACCAATTCTTCTAACAGTAGCCTACAAAGACAATGTTGAGGTTCTGGAAATTTTGGATTGCTCTTTTCTTTGAGAATACGTAAAAATATTTTATAAAGTATCATTTAAAAAGCTCCATTTAACAATAATGCCAACTTCAGAATAGGTAAACAAAGCTTGAGTGTTTCTTACCGCCCAATTTGCAAGGTGGGCTCAGTGGCATACACCTTCCCTTGAAAACCGGTACCTTCCGTTATAAAAGGTAAAGCCATCATGCAGAGGTAATTCGAAATCAGGATAACGTCAACTTGGGCAAAATCGATTAGCTTGTCTAACGGCGGACAAAATTCCGGAAGCGAATCGATAAATATACGGTCCCCATTCTCCCGTAGCTCCTAAAATGCGCGTTTTACAATTGCGTTGGAATCAAATTAACGTACCCCCTCGACGTCAGTATCACCACCGTCGTTTGGCATCCATACGGGTAGATTGTGTAAGCGATTTGAGTAGACGTAGGATAAAGGTAAAAAATTCAATACAGATTGCATGGACAAGCCGCAGTCGAGCATCAAAGTGATTTCTCGGAATGTTAAGATGTGGCATGGTTTGTTCGGATCGTTGCTTAAGCAGTACTGAAAAGGTATGTTTAGATGGATTTTTGATGTTAAATATGGAGTAAATTACCAGCTTCATTGCGTATTTAATTATAATTGCTTTGTTTATTTACATGCTATAAACACCGAAAACAATGAGGTTATGTTAGAATTGTGCTTCATGTACAGGGTAATCAATACTATAGGATGTTTCGTAGAAATCTAAGGATTAGTGATGAAACTGCAATTGCGAAGAACGTGTAGTTTTTTTTTAAATATGGCTACTATATAATTGATGTTGAATCTGTTCGCTAAAGAAAATATTCAAAATGTCATAGGAATAGCTATAGAAAATGACTATTGAACGTAAATAACTATCTAAATAAGTTGGCCTTCGCCGACGTCTTTGGGACTGTCTAACGAAAGAGCGTTCTTGACATTCTGCCAGCTGTTGTTGTTCAGTTTCTTCTTCATAAGGACATCTGCAGATTGTTCTACTATACCTATACACCGGGAATGTAAGTAAGTAATCAATTCAAGTCAAGGTGTCCATGCGGAAGGCTGCGCGGCACTGGGGTGCAGTGTCGATAACGGTGCCCCTCAGATACCGAGTGGTAGCTCCTTCACCTCGAAAGCAAGCGGCTCTAAGAAGACATGAGATAGTATCCCAATACTCGTGGGAATTGTATGAATAAAGGGTCCGATAAAGGAGTAGCTGCTCCTCGTAAAAGGGGACGGTTCCAACAGGGGACCTTATTCAAGGATCTGGTGGTGGACCAGCTCCTATTCGCAAGAAGAGTAGGACTGGCGCACAGAAAGTGCCGACTTGAGGGTAAAACTGGGCTTTGCGCCAAAGCCTCTGCTTAAGCGGTGGCTCAGAGGGGCAACCCGACGTCAGGGACCAAGCGTACCTCTGATCGTAGGGAAGCACTCCAGTGAACCACGAACCCGAGCACGAACCGAGCAGCCTAACTGAACAGCCTTGGCTGAAGCCCCACCCACTCAAAAATAAAGACAAAATAAATAAATAAATAATAAACCCATATGGACAAGTCGCTGCGGCGGTGCTTGGGTGGTCAATTGTTCCGAAGTCACACCCAGAGGTGAATTTTTTGCGGAAAAGTATGATGTAGCTACTAAGCACGGATTCTGGCAGGGACCAATTTTTCCCGAGTGCGAACATTCTCTATAGAATAAACCCATAAAGAGCGTTTAAAAAAGCGGCAGAGCACCTCGGTGTGATCCCACGAAGTCATTGGATTTGACCCATTTTCAAATGGCTTATTACATGTGGTATATATGTTAACTGTGCAAAATTTGAACTATAACTTCAAACGATTGGCAGAGGCAGAGAGGTGTGACCCTACGAGGTCATTGGATGTGACCCATTTTCAATAGACTTGTTACATATAAGTCTACTGTGCAAAGTTATTCAACCGAATAGGTTCAAGCTTATTGGCAGGGACAGAGAAGCGTGACTCCACGGGGTCATTGGATTTGACCCATTTTCAATAGGCTTATTACATGTGGCATATAGGTCAACTGTGCAAAGTTTGAACCAAATCAGTCCAAGAGTTTGACAGTTATCGTGTTCACGGACAGACGCACACCATTGACTCCCCTATAAAGCTTGCATCGCTTTGCTCTGCCGCTTAATAAATGGACGGTGCCCATTCGCACCTTCTATGGGCACTTTTTTCGAAGAATCTGAATCTGTTATCAAAATTTCTATAGCATGCTTGATGTAGAGGCTACGGGCGTCAATCGCCATATGGGATTTTACGGAATAAGATAGAGGGCAAAAAATAAATAAATAAAATCAAATGTTTTATATTCATTTTTTAACAAAACATCCAGAGGTAACTAGATCTTGCTGAATCAACATGACTATATACATTTCAATGAATTTCTTTTTTGTCTTATATATCATTCCGTAAAAACCCAATATAGCGTGCATAAGAAATAAACAAGTAGTAACCTGTAGCTTCAACATTTAGCCTGTTATGGAAGTTCTGATAACAAATCTAGATTCTCCAAAAAATAAATAAACAAAGAAGTTAGTAGTTTCCAGCCTTTAGCCTTCTTAAGAAGGATTTTCAAAATTCCAATTGGCGGCATAAGTTTTAAAAAACCTTTTGCATTTACACTCATACTATTGCATTTTAAAACATAAATATAAAAAAAACACTATTATGGTATTTGTGCAATTTAGCATTTATTCACTTTATACCTTTGATTATAAAGTAAATCTATATTCAAA